CTCCTCCCTCTACAGGGATTCCGCACCGCCCCTGACCGGGGGCAGTGGAGGCAGCGTGTGGGGGGCTGTCCCCTCCTGGGGAGTCCAGCTGCCGTCCGCCTCCGAGGTTGTGAGGGCACCGTGGGTCAGCTCACGGAAGGCCTCAGAGCAGGACCTGGAAACCTTCAGCGAAAGTGAGTGACAGGCAGTGACAGTTCATGGGAATGACAGATCGTCAGCGCTCACGTCTCTGTGTCCGTGGCGACGTCAGGCCTGTGCCAGAGCCTGCGGACGTGTGCACTGTGGATGTGCCAGCCGCTGGCTCACTGTCCTGGCTGTGTGATATTTATCTCCCCGTGAATATCTGGAGTAGTCTGGGTTTGGTTTCGTTTTCTGTTTCTCAGGGGCTGTTAAACCTACTCACACATTCGATTCTCTGAAGCCGTGGCTGGGGATATTGCCCTAATTCACACGTAAAGCCGTAGAAGAGTGTAGATTAGCAACTCGCCTAAAGCCACACGACGAGTTGGTGGATGAGCACGAGCAAGCAATTTTAAATTGGAGCTAGCAAAATAGAAACATTATTATTATTGTTTTATTATTATGCATTTATTTGTCCCCTGCCTTGTTTCAAAAAGAATCTATGTGGGAGCAGGAACATATTTAAACCATCAGGATACTAGAAGCTGTAAGACGGAAAAGCAGGCTCGATCCAGGCATTCACTCCCCTGTGAGGGTTCACAGCCCCCCATATTTCAGCTGCTGCTCCCCCTTTCCATGCAGGAGGGGACTAACAGCCATGGCAGCTGTGTAGGTAACAAAACACCCAACTGCCTTCCCGGTGGCCTCTTTCTTTGTAACAGTTGTAAGCATGGTTGAACCCCCTTTCGCCTCACGCACGTGGCCACTGCCCCGCCACCCCCTGCCTGGCCCCTCCCCCAGCCCCCCGACCCCGTGCACGTGAGCGGGAGCACCCCCGGGCTCCTGGGAGGACCCGGGTGACGCAGGCCTCCACCTCTGTCTTGCAGCTCTTTCTCAGGGGCGCGTGGTGAGAGTCCCGGCGGGGAGCCTGGTCCGCGTGGTGGGCACGGAGCTGGTCATCCCCTGCAACGTCAGCGACTACGACGGCCCCAGCGAGCAGAACTTCGACTGGAGCTTCTCGTCCACGGGGAACAGCTACGTGGAGCTGGCCAGCACCTGGGAGGTGGGCTTCGCGGCGCAGCAGTACCGGGAACGCCTGCTCAGGGGCGAGATCCTGCTGCGGAGGACGGCCAACAACGCCGTGGAGCTGCTGGTCAGGAACGTGCAGCCCTCGGACCAGGGGCTCTACAAGTGCTCCACCCCCAGCACGGACGCCACCGTGCAGGGCAACTATGAGGACACGGTGCAGGTGAAAGGTAGGGACACGCTCGGGGGCGGGGCCCGCGGGCCCAGACTCTCAGCTCCGGTGACTG